AAAAAAAAAAAAAAAGTCAGCGGTGGGTAGCTAACCATCAATCAAATAGAACCATTTCATTGCAAGCGAGCAACCCCACGTCATGACATCTGAGCATCACGCTGACAAGAACCACCACCATCAGGCAAAACTTCAACATCGGTAACACGGCGCCATGTGCTTTGGAGGCAAAAGTGAAAAGGACAATGACCCGGCTCCGAGGCCCGCTCAGCAGCCGCAGCGTCCAGAGCATGTAAAAGACCCCTCGTCCTATCCCTACCCTTCATCCGCTGCATCATCGTCAAATCAGCACACCTACGCACCACCATCCGGACCACCGCCCAGCCAGCAACAATACGCCGCACCACCGGGTCCGCCACCATCCCATCACCAGAATGAATTCGCGCCTCCGGCAGGACCTCCTCCAGGCTACAAGCCCGGATACGCACCGCCTCCCCCTAACCAAGACTGGGCAGTTCCTCCTCCTCCCGAGGCCCCTCCGTCCCAGGAGAAAGCCGAGCACAACTGGCAAGCCGCAGTGCCCGACACGTCTCTCTTCCCTCCTCCGCCGGCCATCTTCAGCGGACACGACTACTCGCCCGTCAACAATGCTACCGAGGAAGAAGCCGAGGCCGGGGAGGCTTGGTGCGCACAGCATCCTCTCACTCAGCCCATGCATATCGACGCCGCGGCCAAGAAGGCCCTCGACGCAAGCAACCTCCGCCTCATGGAGCCCGCCGGCTTCAACGGCAAGCTGAACTGGCTGGCGCTCGGCCACTGGGAGGCCTCGACGGCACAGAAGAGTCCGGACAAGTGCATCATCGGCTACCCGCCGCTGTACCTCGTCGACGAGCATGACCCCACGCGCTACGGCCAGCCCAAGACCATCTACTACGAGGTCAAGGTGCGCCCCGGCAGCAAGAACAACACCATAGCCGTGGGTTTCACCGCCCTTCCCTACCCGTCCTTCCGCCTCCCGGGATGGCACCGCGGCAGCCTCGCCGTCCACGGAGACGACGGCCGCAAGTACATCAACGACCGATGGGGCGGCAAGGACTTCACGCACGAGTTCCGCAAGGGCGAGACGCTGGGCATCGGAATGACCTTTGCGCCAAACGGCACGTCGCGCCCAGAGGTGTCCGTCTTCTTCACCAGGGACGGCGTCCGCGCCGGCGGGTGGAATCTGCACGAGGAGACCGACGCCGAGCAGGACTTGCCGGTGACGGGGTTGGAAGGCTTCCACGACTTGAGCTGTGCCATTGGCATCTTTGACAACGTCGACTTGGAGGTTGTCTTTGATCCCGCCAAGTGGATGTATAAGCCTACGTAGACACCGGCGCTCGGCGGCCTTGTTTATTTATTTTTTTGATTTTTTTGCAAGAGAGCTATGCTGTGTCAAATTCTGTTGAACCCGACACTTGGATGAGTTTAGGGGCGATATTTCAAAGAATCCATTTTTTACATCCTTGCTGGTGCTTTGGATTATCCTGCTTGATGAGGATATGCCGTTATTTCTGTGAAGAGAGCGACTAGTTGGTCCTTGCAGCGCTGACCAAAATAACACAATAATACACATGTATGATTTTGAAACCTTCATCCCAAACTTCATTGCGGAACACGTCGTATATGATGGAAATGGCTTGTCGCAAATGCAGAATCGGGACCACCGTCACTACGCTCTTTAGATATTCTAGGTCTTAAAATCTCGCAGACAAAACTCGCTTTTAATGTAGCGTCCCTTGTTTACAATCGTCACCGCTTCGTGTGCTTGTGAATACGCCACCATATGCCGTATATTTACATCCTGGCCGATCATCTCCTGAGCTACAGAAACCTTGCCATCGCGTCGTCGTCATAACCAGGCCATCAAAAACGCCTAGTACGCCCAGCTTTGCTCATGAAATGTACGTGTTACACACGAGTCCCTCTCATAGTGCCAGAACTAGCCGTTTAAAAGATTTTGGTAATGCTCTCCCTGACAATGACACTATTCTGAGTCGCATCCCTCTTTACACGGAAAAAGCTGTCGCAGAAATCACTACATCGCATGTGTCTCAAAAAGTCCTCGTCGTGCGTAATCACAATGAGCTGGAAATTACTCTGCGCCTGCCTCGTCTTGATAATCATGTGAAGAGATTCCGCCAAGCTCTTGATGTTGTCGCGGTCCAAATTGGTAGTCGGCTCATCAAGGGCAATCAGCCCGCAGTTTACGCCAAAGGACTCTGCTAGGGCGAGACGGATGATGATGCTCGCGAGGACTTTTTGGCCGGCTGAGCAGCGGCCGCGCATGTCCATTTCCGTGTCTTGCTTGACCATGCAGAGGCGGTAGTTGTAGTTGCGCTTGCCCGAGGTGGATTCGTTGTCGGAGCGAATGAGAATCGTGTCAATGTCTGTGCCTTGGTAGGTGGACTGCCAGAGTTCGCCTGCAATGCGGTTGACTTCTGCCATCTTCATCGAGTGGAATTGCATGACGGCTTTGTCGACGGCTGCTCCGCACTGGGCTAAATCTTCAATGGCGGCTTTGGTGGTTTCGACACGGATGTGGGACTCGCGATATTTCTGTTTGGCCCCCTTGTAGTCCATTTCCCACTCCTGTAATAGCCTGCCTAGTTCTTCATCCTTGGTCTTCATGCTGCCCATGACGGATCCTCGTTCGGCAAGAAGGCGGTTGGATTGGTTCTCAAGGCTGCGTGCTTCGCTCTGCAGGCGTTCGTAATCTTCATGAGCGTTGCGATCCTCAAGCTCTTCAATCTCTCTCCGGAGAACTTCTAATTGCCGTAGGTGTTTGCGGTAGTTGAGATTGTCGCTGATATTCTTCTTCATACGGTCACCGCTGTCAATGTCTTGCTTCAACTTGTTTGCTCGAACAGTGAGGTCCGCAATGTCCTTTTCAGTGTTGCTAATGGATTTCTCCAAAGCCGCTATCGCCCGCTGATTGGATGCCAAGTTTGACGGTCCGCCTCGGTCAATATAGTCCTGTATATCATTGTCAAGCAATTTCATTTCGCTAACAGAGTTGGCAATCACGTCCCGTTCGTCGACAATCACTTGCTCCTTGGCACGGCCTCTTCGAAGAGTGTCATCGCGAGCGGATCGAGCGTCGACGATGCTAGGTTCTACCTTCTCAAGCTCCTCGTCGGCCCGTTGGATAGTCTCCCGCTGATGTATCATGTCGTCTCTGAGGGCCTGTATTTGGTTCTGGATATCATTCTTCTTGTCCAGTTGGCCAACCGCCTGGCCAATCTTGTTCCTGAGTTCACTTCTTTCCAGCTCCAAGGAGCCTAGTTGGTCCTTCATCCGCTGTCTATCCGTAGTCAATTTAGCCACCCGGTTTTTCAATCCCCTCATTTGCTCTCCAATGCTAGCCTGCAGCTCATGAATCTCATCAGCGCTTCGAGTGGTACCGCCAGACAGCTGTTGTGACATGATGCGGTCCACCTGACTTTCGGAGTCTTGAATATCTTTCATGAGCTGGGATACGCTCGAAACAGTCTTGGACAAGTCATCCAAGTCGCGCACTCGGCCGTCTTCGCCAGCAACTCTAGACTCGTGCTCTTCTAATTGGCGTTCGAGCGCGTCGTATTCGCTCTCAATCGCCTTGCACTCGTCACGTATAGATGGAAGCTCTGCAGTCAGTCGCTTGTATGTGTCGTAGCTAGATCGAACTGAACGCAGCGAATCCAGGCTAGCCATGGCCTCCTTCAGGTCCTTCTCCACGTCAACCTTGCCCTTTGGGTCAAGGTTCTTTTCAATTTTTTTGCTAAGACGATCCAAACTAGCGCTTTGACCGTCATCGAAATGTCGTTCGCAGAGCAGGCAGCGCTTCTTCGACTCTAGCATTCGCTTGCACTTGCTGTAGTAGTCTACAAGTGCATCGAAAAGACTCAACTCGTTGCGGTAGTCTTCGACCTGTTGTTCTACCGAGCCAACCTCTTCCTGGTAGTCATCAATGACTGCGCCATCTCGGACTTTGTGAAGTGCAGTCAAAACTTGTTTCTTGCACGTTTCCGCATCTCGGGACTTGGATTCTTGGGACTCCCTGGCATTTTTGAGTCTGTATTCAACTTTCTGTTGTTTCTGCTTGGCCTGCTCCAGACTCCGGCGAGCGTCTTGGAGTGCCTTATTTTGCTGGGTGAGAACAGTGTGAAATTTTGTTTCCAGTGTATCCAGCTCCCAATCACTGCCAATCGCCGTGGCAAGCTTAGATTTCCATGTATTAGTTAGGGTCTCAAGTTTCCGTTTTCTGTCTGCGACCTCCTTCTTCCTATAGTCAAGTTGCGCTCTTTCAGAAGCGAGACGAGTGCATTCGACTAGTTCTCGGCCAAGCTTCTCGTTCTCAGTCTCAAGCTGCCATAGCTTGTCGTTTTCGTCAGAGATATGTTGGTCCCAGTTGGCCTGTTCCATCTGAGCTTGTGCTCTGCTAAAACGTGCACATATATCTTCTAGCTGGCCATCCAAGATAGCCTTGGCACCTTCGTCAACATCAATTAGACTGGCCTCGTTCTGCAGGACACTCGTGCGCTTTTCAATGGCTCCGATACGTTGCTTTGCCGACACGCGGTCCTGGGTTCTGGCAGCCTTTCGACCCTCCAACTCTGTAATTACTCCAGTTGCCTTGTCCAATTCTGCGGCATTTTCCTTCTGCAGCCGCTCCAGGTCTCGCTTCTTCTCAGCCAGAAGTTTCTGGATCTTTTCGTTGAAAGACTTGACGTGATGTTCTGTCAAATCCCTATCGTAGCCTCGAAAGCCGTGTGTAACTGCAGCTTCTTGCAGCATCTCCATGCGAGCTTTTACCTGTCGCTCATATTTATCCTTGTCTGACTGATGTTTGCCCTGTTCGGAAAGCTTTGTGGACAAATTCTTGCGCGAGTCAGCCAATTCTTGCTGCAAGTCGTTGTACTGCGACTTGCTCTGCTCTGCTTCTTCTCGATATCTCTCCATGCTATTTTCGTATTGGGCGAGTGCAGTCTCAAGCGATGCGTCGTCCTCATGAAGCTCGTCAAACGTCTGTTTCAACTCGTTCACGGCATCTTGTCTGTATTCCAGTTGTTCCTTCTTGTTCCCAACATTCTGAACAATTTGAAGAAAACTATTGGCCTGCTCATATTTGCGGCGAATCTTGTCATGAGTTTCCTGCATCTCGGCCGAAAGAGCCTCGCACTTTTCCCGAGCATCCTCAATTTCGGCCTGCAAACCGGTCATTCGCTTTTCTGCTCTTTCACCCCGGTCTTTATTTGCCTTATTATGGGCTTCATCGTTTTGTAGCTTGCCCAACTGCTCCACATGCTTCTTGCGAAGTACCTTCAAGTTGTCAATGGCCTTGGTATACTTGAGAGCTTCGAATATTTCGTCAAATCGCTTCTTCAAGGCGGCAGGTTCGCTAAGTGGCCACAAAGACTCATCCTGGTGACAAAAGATGACGGCATCAAGGATAGCGGGCGAAACGCCGAGTCTCTCCGGAATCATTTCGTCAAGCTGAGCCTGCCTGGTGGAGGTCGTTGTTCGCTCGCCATTGTTCACTACGACAAGAGAACAGTCAAGGGTTTTCTGCGAGCGAGTCGTTTTCTTGACCGTCAGCTGTAGACTGCGGGTAGCGACATGCTGGCGGTCGTTGATGGAACGAAATTGCAGCTTCACCTGGGCCATGACCTCTTTCTCTCCACAGAGCTGGGTAACATTAGCGCGAAATCCAGGATGAAGATGGCATGGCGACAAGAGGACACTACTCATCGAGAAGACCAGAGCTTACTTTGGGGTCATGGATGAATGCACCGCCTTTGCTGTTTGGCGGCAGCTCTCCAGTAGTGGCATACTTGAGACACTCGATGATGGTCGTCTTTCCAGATCCATTGTATCCGACGATCAAGGTCAAGGGCGTATTGAATTGGATGGCCTCTCGGACCGACGGGCTAAAGGACCGGACTCCAGAGATGGAGAGTTTGTCGATTCTCGACATGTTGGACGGTGCGATGCATTGATTTGAAGGCCAAAGATTGGGCGTGGCCAAGATGGCTTGTTGAGTGAGCGCCGACTAGCTGGAAGTCCTCGTTCTCCTAGGCTGGTTTGGACCCCTGTATTCTCGTTGCAAATGTGCACGTTGCGGGACGCGCTAGGCAGTGGTCACGCGTTTCGGCGCGAGCTTTGGTGAAGATGAGGGGAGCGTCTTCACGTGCAGTGACATTTCATTTCACCAATAGTCCGTACGTGCGCCACACATGCGCCACATGTTGAGTACACAGTACAAAGTAGTACTCCGCACGCAGATATTTTGGGTACGAGCCACCATCGATGGAATTGGCATTTTGTACTTGATCTCTTGAGCTTGACACGTCAATGTTTGGGAAGACGATAACTAAATTATTACCAGTTATTACATTTTCTTGATAGTACTCCGCAGTATTCCGTTAACTTGTGCGTAGCACAGAGGACGGCCGGGACACTCCCTATTGGTACGGAGTACGGAATCGACGCCACGAGTCCGAGCACGCGGGTTGCAAAAAAGGCCGCACACCCCGCACCCACAACCACACACAACAGGCGTGCGGCCTTTTTTGCAACCCGCGTGCCGAGCAAATCGGAGAATTAATGTGGCCGATTTTGCCTGGTTCAGACTAGGTAGTACTAGTTAGTAGGCTTGGGCCGTTGGATCCCTGTTGAAGCGTGGTGCAGACCCCAGCAGCAGTCGAGCAGCGCGACAAGCCCTGGCCGTTGAAGCAAAGTTCAAGCTTCTTGGTGAGGCGGTATAGTGGTAGACTAGCCTTAAAAGGATGTATTCTGTATATTTTGTAATAGTATTGCAGAAGCCTGATGCCTCTGGAGCTCAAACAGGTAGTGCTCCGTGGTCTGGATGGTTGCTAACCATCATCAGGATGTACATAAGTGTGTCGGCGGCATGGAATACCCAAGTCGTCCCTGGAACCGCAGCTTGGCCCCTGCCAAGGAGGGGTAAAGAGACAAGATGAAAAGTCACAATTTGCTTTTGGAAACAGAGACAAATCTGATTGATGACATGTCAACCTGTCGAACTGGGACAAGAGGCCACCAGCGGGGAATTTCGATGAAACCAGACAGGCCGGTAGAACGGTACGGTGTAAGTGTCTGTGCTGCTCTGTACCGTGATACTCTGGCGACAGCATTTTGCAATGTGGATATGGAGTAGTTACCGCATACACTCCGTATTGCAGAGTGCCTGGTGTTCGAGTCGACGAAGCTGTGGCCAAAAAAAAAAAGGAACTAAGAGCGAGGGGCAAGCAAAATCAAGATTGCGACTTACTACTAGTAGTACGACTGATCTGCTCCCCCCCTGCCCTAACATGAAAACATGGACTTTTCGCTTTTCCCCATGTTCCACTCCATCGCAAATGCTACCCAGGCTCAGCCTCTTTGTTCCTAGACCAGAACCCTCAATGGCTAGGAATCCGTCCACCTCTCAAAGAGAGTTCCGCAATCTTCTTTTCCGTCTCTCGCAGCGTTTACTTTGCACAACAAAGCTCCCCAGGTTCCGCGCCTCGGCTCAATTCCTCGGGTGGCAACCTATCCTCTGGTCCCCATTTCGCCTCGAATAATCCTTTTGACACAAGGAATACCGGTAATATATTCCGTAGCTCCATTCGTTGATAGCAGCCGGATGAGCTTTGCGACCAAAACAACACGTCATGTTCCCTTTGGGGATGCAAACGTGGTGATCATTTGCCGTGCCAGCTTCGAACCTCTCAGACTTGGCCATGACCAGTCCTTATTTTTTAGGCTCCAGCAAGACTTGCTTTTTCCTCTTTCTTTTCTTTTTCTTACAAAATAAAATTCAAAATTCAGATTGCCAACCAGTCCGGACCATTGGAGTAGTAAGCTTGACTACTCGGCCACTCCCCAGCCCAGGAATGACTAGCTTCTGCCTATCAATTCCCGTTCCGTTATGGGGGTTTGGCAGTCGGTACGGCGTAGTTAGTCGTGTACTATTGTAGTCTTGAATGGATGGACCCGAGGGAGCCTGAGATCGACAGCGCCACGGCGCGAGCTTTATTGGCCAAGCTCTCCGCTTTTTGCGGGCGTTTTGCTCCGAACCAGTCGTGACTTGCTGGAGCGAGATGCAGAACGGAGTCCCTGGCCCAAGACAGGCAGGCACCTGGGAGCTTCCTCCGCCCAGGCCGGCTGGCGGACGCAGAGACCAGGGTCAGCTGGTCTGCAGGTTCCGGACTACAAATATCGAAATTGTTTGTCAGTCTGAGTTGCAATTCACCACCATCCCGAATCCCGAGCACCCCCTTGACTGGCTGCTGCCGACTGTTTGGCGTCAAACTGGTCAAGTGGTTTGCCCTGTGGGTGGCGCTGTGGCTCTGCGTCTCCGTAGCCTGGCCGCTTTGGGTCCAAGTACTTGGAGGAAGACATGATAACGGAGTACTTACTCGAGTACGCACTGCTCAACTCAGAATGGAGTAACCACAAGTACCAACCAGCTTTAGAGACCTCATGCATGCATTGCCAATGGAGGAGCCCCCCCGAGCCCCCCCCAGTACGAGGTACCAGTCGCCATGTACCGATATTTTCTGATTAGCTTCCACTCCGTGCCTGCTCCCCCGTAATTTGTCGAGTAGTTACTTGGTGGTGTGTACCAGACATCTGGAGCTGGTAGCCTCTGCGGCCACGGGATTCTTACTAAGTAGATACAGTAGCACGCTTGCCGCTAAGAATTCGTACATTCGCTCTTGCTCTTGCTCTTGCTCTTATTCTTCCTGCTCCCGTTAGTTCGCTCAACGATTTCGTTTAACTCCATCATTTTCCCACCGTCGACCGGTTTGCTTTCCCGCTCGCCGGCGTGACGATTCCCGCCAGCATCGAACCGCTCTGGCGCCGGCCTCGAACTCCAGAGCACTGCCGATATCCGACAACCAGTCGCTGGTTCTGCTCTTCAACTCGACATTTGAGCATTCGAAGTGCTGCAATCAGCCTCTGCAGTCCGCACCCGCGCTGTACAAGTCCATATCGGGCGCACCAGTCCCCTCAGCCGATCCATAAAGTTTCGGAACTGCCCAAGTGCTCGCTATGTTCCCGTCACGGGCCTGAACTTTGACGCCAACCCTAACCCTGATCCGATGAGGTTGCATGTACTGGAGCTATTGCAGCTGCTGAACATATCGAGATAATCATGTCCCACGGCCCCCCTCCACCTCCGCCGCCTTCTGGCAATTTCTATGCGTTTTCGCCATTCAACCTGAACGACTTGAACAATGCACAGAATTCTCAGGTTCGTACTTGTTTCCATACCTGTGCCGGAGCCTCCGTTGCATGGCAAGTTCGGGAGCTGACAGAAATTCTTCCCTTGTACCATAGTTTCCCGCCGGCGGGCCATCTAATCATGATTTAATGTCCTTTTTCGATGACGCAGATATGATGGATCCCTTTGGCGACGTATCCATGAACATTGACTCGGGAAACAGCGCACAAGTCATGCACGTTCCTAGTTCAATGCCTGCCAATACAAACGAAGACGTCGCTATGATGAACGATGCCAACGCGCAAGCTTCTTCCTCGAACATTGCTCAACCACAAGACGATCCGCTGGCCATGACGGCCGAGAAGGTGCCCGGAGCTGGCCCTCTAGCGCCTCGTACTTTTGCCCAGATGAGTCTCAACGGTGGCGGTAGCAGTGGAAATGCAAGCACATTGACCGACTTTACGAAACGGAGAAATTGGCCGGCCAAGGTGGTGGAGGAGCTGAAGGACTTCCTACATATTCTCGACGCCAACGGCCGAATTAAGTATGCGTCTAGTAGCATATCTGGCATTTCGGGATATACGGCCGCCGAGATTCAAGATAAGTTTCTGAAGGATCTGATTCATCCAGACGACCAGGGGGTTTTCGTTGCTGAACTGAACGAATCCATCGCCTCTGGTAGTCCTCTGCGAATGTTCTACAGATTCAAGACCAAGTCTGGCAGCTATACTATCCTGGAAACTGTCGGCCACGCCCATATCGCGGCGGCAAGATTTGCACCGAACCCGAATAATCAGTCGCCTTTCTGCCAGGCTGTCTTCATGATGTCCAGGACGTACCCGACCAAGAACGCTGGGCTTCTTGACTCGTTTTTAGAGCACAAGATGGAGAACGAGCGACTGCGACGCCGCATTGCAGAGCTTCGGAGAGAAGAGGAAGCCGAAACTGAGGAATCAAACCGTCAATGGGTGCAGAGTCAGGAAGGCCGGTCTGACATGACACCGTCCGAGACCACAGGAACATCCACTCCGTTTTTCCGCAACGCTAGTTCGGCAAGCGATATGCAAGCAGACGGATCCGCGCTTACGAGAGAGAATCTTGAAGGTGTCGCGGCAGGCCGAAACTCGGACTCCCTGGGCGATAAGATGGCGCGCTACGAACGGAATACGCATGCGGAGACGATAGAAATGTTAACCGGGCTGCGATATCTTGAAGGGGAGCGCAGTAGAGGCATCACCACGGGTGGCAGCAGCCCAACGCTCATTAGAGGTGATGCCGGCATTGCGATCCCCATCGATCGAGATGCCAGAGCAGGCGAGAAGAAGAAGAAGTTGAAGACGGCGGAGGAATATGTCTGCACAGATTGCGGTATGGCTACCCACATGAAACCGCATACCAGTTCGGCCGTTTTATGTTATCAATCCAGTGGCTCTTTTGTGCTTACTGACTGTGACGCTAGGGACTCTGGACTCTCCGGAATGGCGAAAGGGGCCCAATGGACCGAAAACACTTTGCAATGCCTGTGGCTTACGATGGGCTAAGAAGGAAAAGAAGAGGAACAATGCGTCACAGAAAGTAACCATGGCGGACCAAATGATGGGATGAAATTGCTGCCAGGAGTTTCTGGAGAATTTGCTTTGAGGCGACACCTGAGCATTGTGCGGCGTCAGTTGCAAGCACTTGAGGCCATTGACCGTTAATGCGTGACGTCCAGACGAAAATGTTGGGCGTTTGGGGATCACATATCTTCAGAGATACCAGATGTGTACGAATCTGTTGGCAACGATACATTAAAAGCGGCCACAGCGTTTTTGAATATTGCTTTTCTCTTCTCATTTTTGTTCTGGACTAGAGGACGGTACGGAACAGAATTGGACATTATACCTGCGGTTGACCTTGGCCATGCGGGTTTTTTTATGCGTCATTTCTTTACTCATTTTCACATTTTAAAGGTGTATGATGGGCATCATGATACCTGGGCGGAGTAACAAAAATCAGGAGGCACAGTATACGGCGTGGGCTCTCGGGGCTTTTTTTTGGGTCGTTTATTTTGGGATTTATACTTTGAATAGCGCAGGGAAATTTCACAGCAAATTAAATGAGCAGAAATGTTGGAAGCAAATGCCAAATGCATGATGACGCAACGTGCAAAGTATCGAGAGTCAGCGTTCTGCTTCCACATCGTGACGTATGTGATGTTGGGTGAAGCTTCTGTCGAGCTCTGTTGACTTGGTTTGCAGGCTTCGCAGAGGCAGGATTTAGAGTTTGCCCAAGGCTGGTCTATTCAGAGGACAAAACCAGAAACCGGAGGAGCTTGATAAAAAGGACATGCGTCGACGACGAGGCGGGAGCCCTGGTTGTTATGCTCGAGGGCAGTGTTCTTCAATTTTAAACAGAACCGTGCCGTCAATCCGTGGCCGCTCCCCTGCTTCACCATGGTAAGGAGCATCGTACATCCGGAGTGTGTGCTGTACGTCGCTACCCTCATCTATCCCCGGCTCAGCTGTATCGTGGAGCTCTGCCCCGCACGTGCGCAGTTTCGCGCCAGCTTCGGCGTGTCACTGCTCCTGGACCGCTTCTCGGCATTGCCCATGACGAGGCGTGATTTGATGCCAACTGCCAGGGCGGGCAACCTTGACGACGGACCGACGAATGGGCCAGCGGAAGAGTCATGATTTACGCCTGCCCTTTTTACTATTAGTTTCGCTTTCGAGCTTCTTTTTGCTTTCTTTTCCTTTTCATCCCCCATCTCCATCAAGCAGCCTCTTCGAAACCCGGTATCTGCTAGTCCAAAAATACATCTAATCGTCATCCATCATGGACAAACTCCTCAGCGTCGGAAAGGACATGCTCCAGCAGCAGCTGTCTGGTCAGGGGCAGAGCCAAGGTGAGTGAGAGAGAGAGCGCCTCGTGAATTGCGCCTTGATCAAGGGGAATTATTTACCCCTCGTCGATGGATTGCTGTTCCCCCTCCCTTCCGCTTCCCCTCCCTCCTCCTCCTCCGTGGACCCCTGCTTGACGATAAGCTACCCCACCATGGGAAGTAGCCTTGGTCCATCAGGCTGGCGATGAGGCTTTGAGGAAGAGCGCGGCGTACAACTACGAGCTTTTTTGGTCTAACACGAGACTCTGCAACAGGACAGTCAAACAGTTAGTACAAGCCGTGGCGGTACACCTCTCTCAGGCCGAAGCGACTAACAGCCATCAAGACCAGGGCGGCGGCGGCGGCAATAGCAGCAGCGGAGGAGGTTTCCAAGATGATATCCTCAGGATGGCCCAGCAGCACGCGTCCAGCAACGCCGGTCATTCTGGCAACAGCGACCTATTCTCCAACATTATGAGCGCCGTCGGGAACAAGCAGGAAAAGATCCAAAACGAGGACATTGACGAGCAAGGTGGGTCTTGACAGAACACGCCGTCTACATCTTTGCCTTTTTGTTTTGGGGGCTGCCGCAACTGACAACGCATGTGTCAAATAGATGCCATCAAGCAACACCAGCATGCCTACAATAACGACGGTAAAGGCGACTCTAGCTCGCTCGGAACCGCCGCCGCCATGCAGGCTCTCAAGAAGTTCACCCAGTCTGACAACAACGCCAGCTCAGGGACGGGACAGGCTGCCTTTCTGGGCATGGCCATGTCCGAGGCTAGCAAGGTGCGTCATGGCGCCTTTTTCTGCGCAGAAACACCCACGGGCCCCAAATCAGGGGTTGTGTTCATTTGGAACTAATGTGTCTTGTAGCTCTTCGATTCCAAGGCTTCGCAGGGAAAGGTTGCGGACGGAGCTAGCAAGGAGAATGTCGTGCAGCAGGCGGCTGAGATGGCCATGAAGATGTATTTCAAGAGCCAGGCCGAGTCGCAGGGTGGATTGGCCGGGCTGGCCTCCAAGTTCATCAAGTAAAAGGGGTGGTTACATGGGGATGTAGACGGTGCGGGTCGAATAAGAGTAGAGCCACAGCTTTTGGGAGTAGTCTGCTTTCTTTCGGCCCAGCAACTACCTAGGTAGTTAGCTAGCTTATCCTTTATGTTGGACACGCAGCGCGTGTGTTCAGGCATGTGACATCGTGGTCGTACCTGCGACATGAAATGATCACGAACGTGTATTCTACAGCAGAGTAGGAGAGCGGTGGCCTTGAACAGCCTACGAAGAGGCCTTGTCAAGACTTCTCGGCTACATCAAATCATATACTCGGACAAAATGCACGTCTAGATGGCACACGGGCATCGCTCGTACATCGTCATCGTCACTATCGTCCCTCTGTACATCATCGCATCACGCAGCAGGGCCTCGTCCCCGTAATCTCGAATACTTCTTGCTCTTCGTGCCCCCTCGAAGACGCAATCCCGCTATCCTCGGCGCGACTCGCCCGCGCCCTCATCCTCCCAAACCGATGCTCCAACCAGCCCGTGAAATCCGTACTGTTGAAACCCCGCGGAAATCTGCCTTGCAAAACTCCATCCACGTCCCCAGCCGGGCCTTCACGTCCTCGCTCGGCGTGGTGACCCAGCCCATGCACAGAGACGGCGGGACAAATGTGCACCCCGGGGGCCGTAGGTCCCTGACCCGCTCGGCAACGCTCACGACTTGTGTAGTAAAGAAGGTCATGTATGTCCTGCTTGAGCAGGGGGATCTGCGGGAGAGTGTTGAAGACGCGCAGGATCTGGTTGAGCATCCCGGCGATGGACATGAGTGTCGCCGCGCCAGACCCGCACAGGAATCAGGATATACGTCTTTACGAAGGATGCTGGGGCCGCTGCTTGCGCGCCGGCGAGCACGTCGCCGAGGAGGTGGACGAGCATGTGGGATTCGAGCCCGGCCTAGTCGTAGCGTTGGCGCATCCCGTCCAGGTGCAGCTCTGGCTCGTTGGGGTGCTCGGGGTAGTTCAGCGGGTTTTTCGAGCTTGGATGGTCTCCGGGTCCGAGATGTTGGTTTTGCCGGGGGTGGGTTGGAACAGGGCCGGCTTTTCGGGACGGCTATGAACTGCGGTGTTGAACTGGAAGTTGTGGTTTGTTACGGCCGCGGAGGTCTGAGGCCACCGGGTGGTTCATAACTTCGTAACCACACTTGCGTCTTCGAGACGGCGCGGCATCTAGCTGTACGATTTGAGAGCCGGTTGGTGTCCTGGTAGGCTACCAATGTGCCTGGACGCCAGATGCGTAGTTGTTGAGTAGATCCATGTCGAGAGGAGACCGACTCGGTGCAGCGTTTGTGCTGGCCGTCACCTGGCACGCAGCTGTCGGGCCCAAATGCACGCAAACGCGCACGCACACACCTTTCAAACATCCTTCCTCTGCATTCATGGAATCTTCTTTTCTGCCCTTCTCATCACCTTCTCGTCCCAAAACCAGGCAAGACCTGCTCGTGCTCTGCCTGTAGCATTAATGTCGCGGCTATGGAATACATATAGTAACATACCACAGCCTTATTAATTCTTCTATTATTTTCCAAGCTAATAAAAATACGCAAAAAGCAACAAATACACGCATGCCTAGGATGACTTGGGTCAAATTCGACCTCAATAAGCGCAGTGACTACACTTTGCCTCATAAGAGCTTGACAGAACAAATAACCAAGTTTCATCGTTACAACCTCAAGCGGGACTACGTCCCAGTCTTCCCAGTCCGGGTCCGCCGAGCAAGAACCATAATGCTTCCGGCAGCATACCACTGGGAAGTAGGGAGCTCGGAAACTTCTGTGGCCGTAACAAAAAAAAAATAATAATAATAAAAATCAGCGATAGACGGGGACAACGCGACAATTACCAAGAGCAGCCCAATCAAATGGCCCGGAAAGTGCCTAGGTCTAGACGTCAAGTCATTATCTCCCAGCGCTGTCCACGAGAAAACCCCCATCCACAGCAGACATGTCAGTTTCAGAAGCCTCACACCTCCAAATACACGGTTTTATAACCGTCACTACAAGAGAAACCAACGAATCATGGAGGGGTGACAGCACTATTCCGCGTCCTTAATCAGGCTATTACCAAGGCCATAACACTGCTCCTAAAGACCTTTACCATTATCTCGCCTAATAAGCAGCAGCAGGCTTCTCTCCAGGTCGCTAAGTAAGGCAGGGGACGGAACTTTAACCTGGGTTGAGTTACGCATAATATTAAGGCGACTCAACACATCGCCAGCAAACTCCTATTTGCAAGCGCGGAATCGACTCCCACACAGTCCTTAACACAGCAGGGGAACTACTCTTGGCCACTAGGCTGCCTTCATCTTTAATAGGCGCCTAGCAAGCCCATACTACGACATGGAGGCCAAACTTTATAGTGAATGTCCACAAGATCGCGCCAGGGTCTTCGTTCGCCTCTTCAGGCAAGCTTTATCTGCTTTATCTAATGCCAGCTTCGCCTACCATTTCGCATATACTATATGTGCCTTGCTCGGAATAGCCTAAGCGCTAATCTCCATATGTTTTCTGCTCTACACCTCCCTCTCAAACTTTTCAACCTCGACCTCTTTTCTTCCTTTCATCCTCTTTCCCCTCCTGCGCTTTTTTTTTTGGCCTCCCGGGGCCCTTTTTCTCCTCTTCCCCTCCTTGCCCTCAAACTTCCATTTTCTAGCAAATGGAACCCACTCCAAACCAAGCAACCTCCGGACCAGCAACCATCAGCACAACGCACATCACGATTGTCCCGCCGCGATGCCCATATCAGACGACGGCCGCAAGAAACCAGGCAGGCCTGCCAAGTCTGCTGCCGCAGGTAAGGCGACCCCGGCAAAACAGGCCAAGCCAAAGGCCACGAAAACTCCGCCAAAAGCCAGACAGAAGCAGACCAATGGTTAGGGTTAGAGGCCACAGGAGTATCAGGACAGCCCGATTGTTGGAAATAACCACAGGCACATCGAGCGCCTCGCCACGAGCCATAGGGCCGAGACCTACGCGAACAACAAGCAGAAAGAGCACAATAATAAAACTCGTTGGAATAATGCGTCCGGCATATTGACGACGCGGGTGCGGTTGAATACGTCACGGACTATGACGAAGACGGCTTTGATTGGGATACCACGCTAAAGACGCACTTCCTCAATTCCACGCAGCAGGCACTATTCCCATTCATTAGGGAGAGCAGCGTCACATCAGAGCTACAAGATAGATACCCGAAGGACAGTACCGAGGTCTTGAGAAAGAGGATTGCCGCGGAAGCTGCGCCACCTTGACCGTGTCATCACGGCAACAAAATAATGAGCTCATATCCCACATTATTGGTAAAGAACCCGTTTGTCGTAGCAGGCCGCCGGTGCGATGCAGCTCTGCCTTTTCCGTTACTAGACGTGATCCTGCTCCTTCTTATAAGAGCGTCAAAAGCTCCTAGTTTATGAGGGAAGTTCTAGCCGGTCGTCTTTGGCCAAGGCGTCTTTTTAACGTAACTAGGGGAGGTTTTGAAGGGATTCCATAATCGTGGAGAGCATTTGCAGATGGGTTTCTTGGGCGGAGTGGCAGCTGGGGTTGCCTTTCTGGGCATGATGCTGTCCGCAAGAGATAGGTACCATGGAGTCGCTACCAGAAGGGTAGAGTGCGGGAGGGCACTGCAGCTCTGATTCGTATATGTGTCGGCTCAAGCATGGAAGGAAGTAAACGTGCTATTAGGCTGTTCCCAGCGTACACGGTGTGTCAGATGCGGGGTTTTGGCAGAACGGGTCGGCGATGACTTGCATAACCGACTTGTAGTAGAGGGTAACGACGGTACGAACGGGATTTTCTCGGCTCTCTGTTCATGCTATTTAAACGGTGAATTATATTTCTTATTCTTTGACCCATCCAGGTAGCGGTCAACGAGGACGCTCCACGGTCCAAGAGGTGTTGAAGTGCTCAAGTGCACCGGTTGATAGGGCTATTAGGAAGGTTTCCCTAATAACTTAAAGCATCACCATGCAGACAACTTGCAGATTATATCACATCATGCTGCAATCTACACTCATATACAAACCAAAGTGTACAATACACATACAGAGGTCATACACTCAAGCATGCTCACTAAGACCCCCCATTCCCATTCGCATCAACCTTCTCACTGTCAGCAACACCCTCCACCAATGCAATTACGTCCAGCCATGTACTGGGTCTTCGTCTGCCTTCCTCGTAAACCTCGTGCAAATATTCCTCTGCTTCACCTGCAAATGCCAAGAGCTGCTCCTCACTTCCCCATTCACCCGTAGCCATCAACCCCACGGGAATCTTGCCTTCTCCCTGTTTCGGCGCAGCATACCCCACGGGTACCGAAACCGACGGCGTGCCCGTCATATTCGCCAAGAAGATGTACATCATGTTCCTAAATGTCGTGTTCGCGTCATTCATTCCCAGTGCTTCGTCACCAGGATGCTTGGGCCAGCCGTTGAGGGGAGTCGTGGGCGACATAATGAGCAGGCCGGGGTATTTTCGGAACAGGAAGGCGAAATGGCGCATCAGGATTGTACGCATGGTGTTGAACTTGAGGAAGTCAGCGGCCGGTGTCTGCTGGCCAACCGTCATGAGCAGCCGGTTTACAGGGCCCACGAGGGAGAGCCAATCTGCCGGGTTGACGGTTCTTCGACGAGCTGCCTCGGCCATTTCAGTGATGCAGATCATGCCGTGGGCCAGCTGGGCATCAGCAAGGTGCGGGAGGGAAATGTCAACAATCTCGTAGCCTCGCTCCTTGGCGAAGTAGTCTAGTGCCTTGTTGCAGTGCTCGATTACTTCAGGGTCAGCCGCGTTCAACCACTCGCGGTACACGCCCATGACACGCTTGGCGGATGGTTGAGGCGGCGTAGAGCGGCCAAATACACCTTGGGTGCCATCGTCGGGGTTAGGCTGCGACATGAGTCGGTAGGCAATGGTCAGGTCTGCAACGTTGGCCGCAATGGGGCCTGTAATACACATGGTGCTGCCCATGTATCCTGTTCGATGGTGGG